TTGGCATCAAAGATCTTGGCTAGCACTTCCGCCTTGGCCTTTGAGTCGAAAACAATAGTTCCATCCTGACAGGTAAGTGGTGGAAGGCTACTGTGCGAGAAGTTATTTTCAATCTGCTTGGCCAGCAACAAGAAAGATCCACCATTGCGCTGCGACATTACCCTGTGCCTAACTTTTATATCGAGCTGGTCTTTGGCATTGCAAACCGCTTCGTTATATTTGCTTCTGGACTCGACGTTGGCTTGTCTGTTCTTTACAGTGGGGATTTGTAAGAATATTCTATGTGTCTTAATCTTCTGCTGGCGAGCAGTGTCACAAGTTTTGTTGAACCAGCCGAAGGACCCTGGTTTAGGCACTTTCACTGTATGAGGGATGTATTCCTTCATATAACGTAGATAATTTTGGTTTACTAAGAACAGACAGTCGACGGCGACGTATCCGCGTCAGCAAAACAAACATTTCTCCAAGGAAAGGTAGAGAAGAAGGGTCTGAACCCCTCCCAGTCGGCATGACCGTAATGCCAAATTTTGCGGCCTGCTACCACAGCGGGCTGACCGAAACCCAACCTCCACAACACCGTGGTTACCTTGGGGGGAAAAGACAGCAGTGCTGTAAGGGACAGGATGCGTGGTCAGAAATAGATCCAGCAGGCTACTGGCATGTGACGAGACGCAGGGAAAAAATGTAGGGTTCGTCACCGCTGGGTCAGCCCTTGAGTAAGAGCGAACGCTTCAACTGCACGATCTGCTGCATCGGTCTTGTTTGAGCCCAAAAAAGCTCAGTATGGGAATTCAAGTCACCGAGGAGGACTACTTCTGAAGCGGAGTGATTGATGTCCAGGAAGTCGATCTTGACGGCAAGGCATTCAAGTAGGTCATCCCAGTTATAGTCCGAGAGAGAGCAATAGAGGCAGCAAATAAATGTGGGGGATATTTTGGAGTTGAGGCGAAGTCACAGAATGTCCTTCCGGTTTGATTTCAAAGAAACGACTCTGGGGCAGGAAAGACCGCTGCGAACAAAAGCCACAACCCCCTCGTTCTTTTTCAGATTGAAGTGCACCTCGTAATTTGGGAAGCTAAGATGGTTAATCGGTGCAAGCTCTGAGATTTGCATCTCCGCTAAGAAAAGCTTGGCGTGACGATTGGATTGCAGATAGTGATGAACAGCATCAATGTTGCTGTTAATCCCGGAGATGTTCGTGAAACAAATTTTATCTTCGATGTTGTTCCCTCGAGTCCACCCTCCATCCGGGCATTCCTAGAGTGGAGTGAGTTTACGTCCAGAATTATTAGTACTCGAGGGATCCATCATCATTAGTTTCATTGTTTGGAGATAAGAATTAAATAAACCTAAAGTGACCCGGCAATCGGTACTGAGGTATTCCTTAACGCGTGTATAATCACTTGAACGGGAAGAGGTTGTATACTGAATGCAACAATTTCCGGAACAAGCATTTGCCACGGTCTCGCTTAGTAAGGGTAAACATATTTTGACTATAAAGCAATTTTACGTAAGGGAATGCATGAACTTTGTGTTTAAATAGTTATTAACAAACATTCAGTTATCACGTTCATACAGTGTATTAGACAGATACCCTCTAGTGTTATTTGATATACGCAGGCAATTGATATTTCCGTTGACTTGATGTTTTCCTTCCGGTTTAACAATGTATACGCATTATATGCACTTGGCTGCAAAAATTAGTATCAATTCCCAAATCCCTTAAAGTAATTAAAACACTTTTTAGCTACCGCTATTACCATAAAACATAAGATAAAATCTAAAATCACTAAAACTTGTTTTTTGAGAATTGTAAGAAAATATCTCTATTATCTTACCTATAAAAGTTGCAGTACTGATCAATAGTGCGTAATATCTTAAACTTCTCCTGTGATTTTGGTGCTAGAACACCATGCTTTTCTGGCCAAATGAAATAGCTAGCAGTTACTATTTACTGACATTTCGGCCACCACTGTGCTCTTTTGAAGTAGTGACATTGATTACATACTTTATGTTTATATGCCTTCCAGGTGACAGTTCATTTGTTTATTTTGCTATTAAGTATTTCGTCTTAACATAGCGTTGACTGTTATGCAATCCTCGACAACTATTGCTGTTTCTGCATTGCTCATGTATGTAATATGTGAAAAATGTTACTTCGGTTTGCCTAGAGAGAAAATGATATAGCACAACAGTTTGGCCTGAAGCGATAAAACCCTGTTACCTTTAGCACAGATAAATATAAGATATATTATCATCTTCATTTTGACCTATACTACCTATACCACCATGGTGGCTGAAACAGAGTAATTTCTACATTTGGACAGACAAACAGGAAATTATAGAAGGTTGTTGTTTTACTAAAGTATCATGATGGTCGTTTGAGTTAAAAACGCCTTGATATTTTTTACCTAGACTGCTTACTATGACACAACATTTATTAGAGGTACTAGTATAAACTACAAGATGTCAGCAATGACAAGGTATGGAGAACACACCCGCTTAAAATGAATAAGCAGAACCTAAAACAGACAAGACCTACCTATTGCTACAGCGAAGATCTGTTTAGATTTCCCTCCAAAAATGCCAGTCTTGGTACCAGACATCAGACTAAAACTCTGACAGCTTATAACGTTAGAAAAGCTCTATCATTTATTTATTTGTTGAGGTGTACTGAGAACGGTGGACAGTAGGTAACTGGTAAAAGTTGCACACAACGTTCACCTTATCTCAGTATTACCGATAACTCCATTATTATATAATTACGAAACTACTAATAATGCTTTGTCATTATGTTCTGTAGGAACCTATATGTTTAAAGCTACGCTGTCAGCTCAGAAACGCTTCACACCAAACATATTTCCAGAACAATTGATATAATCGGTTGCACAAGCAATAAAATATGTGAAATCATGATCATCTGTGAAGAGAAAAAAGCCACAAGGGCTCAAGTCAGACGAATAAGGGGGCTGAGGAGCCACATGAACGTTTTTACTGCCCAAAAACTTGTCTACTGCAGTTGTTCTTGATCTGACGAACGATGTGACTCAAATATAATTCTTCTCCGATCAGTCTTAATATCAACTGACGATCTGACCGGACCGGATCCCGGAATCTGTCGATATCTTAATCGGTTCTTGAAGATAAAGGCCTTACGCTTTGTGGTTCATGCCCAATCGACTCTCTCTTCTCAAAATGCCTTTAACCACCGAACAACCTGGGCTCTTGAAAAATCACTACCATTGTAGGCCTGTTTAGCAAGAGCTTCCGGTGCACTGTGCCCAAGTCTGAAGCAAAACCTTTGAATGAGGTTGATGTGACTCATTTTTAGAACACAATACGAGTAGAAATAACTGTTTCACAAAAAAAAAAACGGCTATGGACAACCAACTGACTCGAGACAGTTCAAGCTTATACTGAATGCGGATCGCATGCTTTCCTTTCTCCTCTCCAAGGCCGGTGACTCCAGGGTTGCTAGATCGAACGCTACGTTGCCACTCTCATCAATTAATCTACAAACCTATGTATGTATGTCATACCCGAATTTCTCAAAGTTAGAATTTTTGAATGTACCATATGTTTCACTGTTTATTCACAGTACACTTTTTAACCCTCTGAAGCAGGTATTTTTTTAAGATACAGCGCGAAGACTTTTAGCACAATATTTCACAAGTATCCTACGAAGAAGTGTAGCGTTCCATCATCCGAAAAGTGAATGAAAGTTGTTGCTTATAGCAAAATTGATGTGAATCGGATAAAATATTCAAACTGGTGGGTCATACCGAGAATAGACATCAACGGGCTTGTCATTTATTTTGCACGAAATCATAAATGTAGGACTAATAAATAATTATTACAAATTTGTTCTGTATTTGTGTTATTGTCAAACGATTTGTAAGTTTCTTTGTTGAAAGGGACTTAGTTTTGTTGATTTTCTTAGATATTTAGGTAAGTAGTAATACATAGTTGTCAAATTAAAACAACCTGTGTCTATTATTTCATCATGTTAGTACATAATTCAAGGGTAGAGTTGTAAAAGATTATTACTTCGTAAATTAGTCGTTTTCAAAATATTTGCAAACTTTCATATGTCTAATGCTTCACACCTCTTTTACAATAAGTTGATCTTTAGTTGACCATGGCGGGACTTGAGGCAAGCTTCAACGTATATGACCTCAGGCCAACTGAGGATTAACTGTACGTCAAATTCATTAGACGAAACAAGGACATCGAATTCATTGGAGGAATTTTCTAACTCTAACCCTACCTTAATAATTATAACTTTGGTGGATGAACGTAATTCAAAAATCACAGGATGAGTTTCAGATGTTACATAAATCAAGAGGTTGCCAGGCGATGAACCGGTGCAAGATTTGTTAACCGTTTTCCTAAGCAAAATACATTTTTGTTCCAGCAAAGTTTTTTTAAGGTCTCTTGGACCATTTTGAACAAAAGCGGCTCAGTAACTCATTAGTAAAGTTGATCGTGTTCTAGTTATAAGTTATTCCAAGATTGACCCTAATCAATGCTTAAACGCTCGGTTAAAAATATTTTTTTTGGAAGCTGCCATGTATGTAAATCAGCCCGCCCCCAACTGACTAACAATGCTACAGAAGTTTAATTTGAACACCTCTCGATCTCAAAAATAGCAAATTTCAACAAACTCTTTAAGCATTGAAGATGGTCAGTTTTCAGGGTTTTCAGATTTCAAAACAATGGTAACTTTAGAGGAAAGTTACAAAGGATATTTTTAGTTTCAGTCTGATCCAAAACGACCTAAAAAAACTTTGGAGCAATTTAAAAAGTTGGTTAAAGAAATTTGAACCTGGTTACCGAACGGCAACCTCTTGATTTAAAAAGGGTTAAGGAGCGTACAACAAATGTAATCATGAAAAAAAAATTAGTTGGTAGATCCTTCCTCGAACGCTAGGTTTTCGCCTCGTCTAGCGTGCAGCTTGTCAGCGGAAATCTAATGAACTAAGAAAAATATATAAATATACCTGCTGCAACAGCCAAAAGCTGAGTGGAAGTCCCTTTGAAAATGCTCTCTTCATTTCTCCCAGCCATGGTTCCAATACACCCACCAAGCACTGACCACAATGGTCGCCGATTGTTATCGTTCAGGTTCCCGTGTTTATCATCACAACACAGCAAATTGTTTGGATTTTTCACCTACTACCGTTTATAAACCATAACAGTTTGTCGCAATGATCGTATATTACTGATAAAGTCGCTTTTGTGTAAATTTATTGAGAATTGTGAATCTCTGCTGGATTTGGCCACAAATTATTCAGTTTTTGTGTAAACTTGGTTGTACAAATATTGTGGCTAAGCAAACTGAATGCGGGAGCCTGAACTCATCTGGTGGTGACGTGTGGTGCAGATTTTCCAATTGCAAAATGTCCCAATCAGCAGGACCAGCGAAGTGTCATGTACTAGAGACCATAAACATGCCATTTTGTCAAACTGCTTATGCTCACCCATTTAGATCAGGATTACCGGGCTAATTTGTATTTCCGGAGAGTATGACACTGTATACTCAGAAAATACACAAGCTGTTTTTTTGTACGAGGCTTCATAACAATGGCCGACTCCAAATACCTAAACAGGCAAAAATAGCTATTATTGCCTATATTTGAGGCTATGTAGCAAGCAAAATTATATTTTTTTTTATAAAACTATAGATGTCATCTCAAATTATAAGCCTTGCCCTTTCAAATGCCATTGGGTTTGCTTAAATATCTTTTTCTTTCGGTCTAGATAGGGTAGGGTGGATTGTGGGCTTGTAGTGGAATAGTTTCAGACATTTGATGGGTTTAATTTGTTTCATAAAAATACACCAAACCTGTTCTTGGTGTATTATAATCCAAACCACAATTTTGTTGCTCACGTAATGATAACCTATAGAGTGTCAGATATAGTGGAATTATAAACAATGTCTATGGTTTGTTGAAAAAAAATCGGCCTTGCTATATAGCCTCAAATACGATGATGTTAAAATTTGGCTAATGTCGTAATATGTATGAGATAAGCGTGCAATTTGTATGTTAGAAAGAGTTACGTCGTACTCTGGTTGCCAGGCAACGAGCTGCTTCTATCTCTTTCTTTCACGCTTCTTGCGCCTCTCATATACACATTACGACGTCAGTGGTATTTGTTTTCAGTGTATATGCGAAAATCGCTGTTTCTGAAGTATGTATCCCAAGAATAAAAAAACACTACCTTTCGAAATAGCTCACTGACAGGCTATCACATTTGGGCGTTTTTGTACATTAAATCATTCAATCATGTCATGCTATAGTATAAAGATAATAAAGGGGCATTATTTGTACAAAAGTAGAAAGAAGGCGAGGTGTCGCTGAGAGTAATGTTTTTCAACTTGACCTTTGTTGTTTGTATGTTGTGTCGATTCCTTTTACCTTATCCTGATGTGTAATAAGATAGAAGATTAAAAAACAGTCAATAATTGTTGGTATTGTAAGCTGAATGTCCCACTTTGTGCTGTGGATTTAGATAAACCCTTCCTTAAGAAGATTCATCTAAGGTATCATACAGATTTGAGGATAAGTTGTAGAGTGATGAGCAATTCAATGTACAGAAACACTCAATTTTGATCCACCATTTTAAAAGATAGTTAATTCATATTCTAAGGTCATCAAGTACTAATATGATACCACATGACTCCCCATTCTATTTATGAAAATGTTCCAGGATGTCACGACGCCAGAGTTCACCTTGCTTGCCGAGGAGGTTTTTGAAAACCACCGTATGAAGTCCACCGGCAGCTGTCGCCAAAGCGAGGTTCATCGATGTTTTTTTTTTGTGACAACAAAGGTACTACTGAAGTTCATCGTGCATTGCTGGTATCCTCCACTCTGGAATTCTACAATATTCAGCTTCTAAAAATGTATAAGAACAAGCTTTAACAAGTTCAATATTCGTTAGGTAAACCGCAGTCCAAATGATTGATAGTTATACCAGAGTTGAAGAATGCAGAATGTTACCATGTCTTATTCGGAAAGATCAAAGTAGCATATTAGCGTGGCTAAACATCCTGAACAAGCCTTTGCGGAGTCAAAGCGCAAAAGCCTTGAGGAGTTGATGAGTTAAGTCGTTCTGCAACATATGCGCCTTCATTTATCGGCCGGTAAACCTTTTGATATACCCAAAATAGCAAGTTAGCTTAATATGTAGCTAGGAAAAGGGATATAAGAAAATACTGGTTACTTGTAGCTCAACATAACAGTTCAACAGAACGGCAGTTAACTTTTGAATGTTAAATGTATTCCAAAATGATGAGCAATTTGAACGATCTATCTAAATACGATAAAAATGGATTATTCACAATTATTATTATCTTCAGTGAAAATTCAGGATTCACATATTCCACCAGTATCTATTGTCCAGTGAAGTTCCGGAAACTAATAAGTCTTTGATCTAGGCAAATTCATTGAATTGATTTGGTATATCAATCAATAAATAAATCTTGATTGCTGTTAACTAAGTACTTACAAGCAGAGTGATGTCCTCTGGGTGTCTGACTTCAAAGAGCTATAAATAGAAATAGTCATGTTCCAGGCTGGAGGCAATTACCGAAATTTACATTTATTATTTAATAACATCATTTTGCGCACCTCCTCTATAAGATCATGCAATTTCTTAACAAATTGGTCAGCTTTCAAATTATTTCCATCAAACTTTACCTGATGCAGGACCACCTATATTTTAAGCGTCATTCTCATTTTTCTCTTAGGTTGAAAGCACCTAATTCTAAGATGTAGAGCTTTCGGAAGTTTTACGGAAAACTCATAACCACGACATAGAAAATCTTTCCACTCTCCTGGAAATTTATATTCTCAAGACTTGATATTTTAGGTCTAAAATGAAAAGTTTGTATGTCTTCTCCGACACGGTGAGTACGTACTGCCAGCGACTTTTGTTCTGTTAGGCATGCAAGATTAAGTAACACAGAAAACTAGTGAGTCTGAGTTTTCTGTGGTGATCAGTATAACTAATGTTGTATGGATATTCAGATATGTATAATCATATATCAATCAACTTTATAAGCGACTGCCACGTGTATTTCAATACGCTTCGGTTGGAAAATCTGAATGTGTATTTTATAAAAACAGCTCTTCTGAATATCAAGTAATTCTTCTCTTCTTCTTATTTTTTTGTTCATCTTCAATTCTGGATACCTGCATTTGGTATGCGATATCACAGTTTGATAAATTGCTTGGCTTATTTTTATTGTCACATTATCATTGCAAATCTTTTACTAACAGAGAATCATTAACAATACTGTATTTCACTTAAGTTAGAAGCTTACTTGAATATGGTTGTATCATTTGGTCTCCTTTATATGTTACATATATATCTAAAGTCGAGAAGATCCAAACTATTTTTTTTTAGAATATCCGTATTTAAAAGCATATGGTGCATATCCTTCATTCAAATGTCCAAAGAAGGACGTTTTAGATCACTTTGGCATGACCAGTCTTGAACACAGAAGATTTTTGTTAAGCTGCTGCTTTGTGCATAGGCTGCTAAGCAATCAGATTGACTGTAGTGAAATTTTGTTGAACTTAAACTTTAATGTGCCTAGGTTGAATAGTAGGAACTACACCATGTTTTATCTTCCAAAAGCTTCATCATCAAATATTATGCTAGCATACAGAATGTTGAAATGCTTTAACGAGGTTAGTCATCCCTTTGACTTTGATGAGCGAACATACGATATATATACTAAGTGACATATAAATCCGAACACCCAGTGTAAATGGTTTTATTTTAATAAAATTTTGTATAAGTACTTAATGAAGCATAATAAGTAAATGATAAAAATTTCAAAATAATTGCACTGCTTTAAAGCCCTTTGACCTTTAATAATGTGTGGATGCACCCTGATGTGCTACGCATTCTCCAACGCGCCTAGGCATGCTTCTGATCAGGTGGTCAATGTCCTCCTGTGGTATCTCATTCCAGGCAACCACCAACTCCTCTCGAAGTGCTTCTAGAGTCTGAGGAGGATGTTTGCAAATTGAGCAATCTCCTACCCATCATATCCCACACGTGCTCAGTTGGGGATAAGTCGGGAGATCTTGGTGGCCATGGTAACAATGTGACATCATTATGTTGAAAGAAGTCTATTGTGACTCTTGCAACATGTGGTCGGGCATTATCTTGTTGGAAAGTTGGATCTGCCAGGGTGTCAAGATAGAGTAAAAGATGGGGTTCTAGAACTTCGTGGATCTAACGCTGCGCGTTCATGTTACCTCTGATGAAGATTAAAGGTGACCTGGAACCATAAGCTATAGCACCCCAAACCATAACTCCAACAGTGTGATGAACATGTCTTTCAACAAAAAACTGTGGATTCCTCCTTTCACCACGTCGCCTTCTAACCCTGGCACGACCATCGTGCATGCCTAAACAAAATCGAGACTCGTCACTAAAGACAATACTGTTCCATTCCTGATCCCAGAGTAACCGTTGTCTGCACCACTCAAGGCGATTACGTCGGTGTTCTCGAGTTAAAGGGAGGACCCAGTGTGGCCGGTATGAAAACAAGCCAAAACTTCTCATTCGTCGGTAAACACTTCTCATGCCAATAGGTCTTCCGTGTTCTGCAAACCATTCATTTGCAATGGACCTGGTAGTGGAGAAACGGTCCCTTAAGGCCAATAATCTTAGGCGGCGATCTTCACGGTCTGTTGTTCTACGGCGGCGTCCAGTGCCCCTTGCTCTTTGCGTACGGCCTTCTCGAAGCCATGCCTGACAACACCTAACCACAGTGTCTACACTTCTTTGCACTCTAACTGCAGTTGCCCGAAAAGAAAGTCCAGCTTCCCGAATTCCCACTATTCGGCCCCTGTCAAACTCACTAAGTTGACGAAATCGTACAGGTCTCCGTACTCTAGGCATCGTAACCGATCGTAAAGGATGTCAACAACCAAAATCCTCCAACGTTGATTCTTTACTGCGGCTGAAATATTCATTTTAAGAGCGTTAGTGAATTAAAAAAAAGCAGTATAAAAACCGGAATGTCCAACTGATAAGGCTGAAATTTTTTTCACTTGTTATTTACAGTAAGATAAATACATTCACTAACTCTTATTAAAATAAAACCATTTAAACGGGGTGTTCGGATTTATATGTCACTTAGTATATAAAGGAAATATATTGTCATATTTAAAAACCGTTCAGAGACGTAAACTAATTTCAGCTTTCCAGTACCTTTAAATCTTATTCTTTATCTATTCTAGAAGTAGAATTAACGTTCAGAAATATATTAATTTGCATGTGTTACTACTGCACTGATGGGGCTTTGTGTTGTAT